CGATGTTCGAACATTTACATTTTAAATGTCTAACTGTCTAAACGTCATTTTCATCGTCATGTGAGTGCTGGGTGGCCGAGCGGTCTAAACTGTCTCAAACCAAATAGCTGGTGATCTAGAGTTCAATCCCCACCAAAGCCCGGGTGGATGGGACTCGCTAGCCTTGGACGACAAACAAAACTCTGAATTCAAACCAGGAGCCAGAATGATCAACACATTGATTGTGGGCCCCTCAAATATAAGAAGAAGAGATTGTCTCTTCTTTTCAAGCCTAAACATATAGCTTGTTCCACTAATTATTTGGTAATGTCTTAAATATATTAAAGTATTGTGAAGGATGAGGACCATTGCCTACAACCTTTGTGACTCTGCTTTAATGTCGAACCGTCCTTCCATTGTTCCTTATCTAATCATTAGCTTTCAAATCAGTTAGATTCAACTTTGTTTAAAACGTTCAAGAATTTATTTATGAAGTTCATTGAGTTCAAAGGCCTTCCCAGCGTTTCTTCACCTTTTGGTACCGTTCTACTGAGCTCACTCGTGTCATGTACTCAAAATAATAATAATAACTATTCTAAGCAACTTGAAATAATTGTTTTCAAATATCTTTGAGAATAATGAATGTGGGATAGAATCTTGAACCCATCGAGTGATCTACTGCACTGCTGAAAATAATCATCTTGCTGACGTGGAACTTTTTGAGTGTACACGTAGAAAGCAATAACACACGACTAGGGGTGAACCATCCACAGGAGATGTAAACAGGATCTTGGGATTAAGATCTTTCCAATCTGAGTTTGCTCTTTGTGGTTGGCATCATTAGCCCTGTACTTGCACATGTCACTCACCTGTGGGTCATCATGTTTGTTTCTAAAGATGTGAGGGGGTATCTTGGGGTCATCCTGTTTATTTACACAGATGTGAGTGGGTGAGTTGCTGGGGGGGGGGGTGGGGGGGGTCATCTTTTGGTTTACACAGATGCGAGGGGGTCGCTTGTTTGGGGGTCTTCGTGTTTGTTTCCACAGATGTGAGGGTTTTTTTCTGGGGGAAGAGTTCCTTATTGTAGGGTGTATGATCTGTACTGCCGTGAGAGCACTCTGTACTACTGTATGTGTGCTCTCTACTACTGTGTGTGTACTATCTTCTGCTGTGTAGGTACTCTGTATTGCTGTATGTGTACTCTGTGAACTGCTGTGTGTACACTGCACTGACGCGTGTGAACTCTCTACTACTGTATGTGTACTCTGCACTGCTGTATGTGTACTCTGTATTGCTGTGAGTGTACTCTGTACTGCTGTGTGTGCACTCTATACTGCTATTTGGGTACTCGGTATTGCTGTGTGTTTACTCTGTGGACTGCTGTGTGTGCAATATGTACTGCTGTGCATCTGGCATATTTCTTTCATTACAAACAAAATTGAAGGGTAAGCTATCAACATGTACGAAACACAGAAACATACATTCACTTTACATTACGTCACCAATGTTGGTCTCCTATCTGCGTGTATAGCTGACCACATAAATCAGCGTCATTAGCCATCTGAGAAAATAATTCTTCATTAGTGACCATTTAGTAACTGACCAGTTTAGTAGTTTCAAAATGTTACCACCTCCAACACCAAAAGCACTAAAACAACAACAATTCAACAACAGAAACCCATGAAGAAAATAAAGGGATCTTTTAAGGCAGCGGCTCCCAACCTGTGGGTCACGACCCCTTAGGGGGTCGACCGACCCTTACACCGTGGTCGCCTAATACCATCGGAAAACACATATTTATGTAGTAGCAACGAAAATAATTTTATGGTTGCGGGTCACCATGACACGAGGAACTGTATTAAAGGGTCGCGGCATTAGGAAGGTTGAGAAGCACTGTTGTAAGGGTTCGTGATTCATTGTATAGCACATTTAAAAGAATCCCAATATTTGCAACACCCCTTTCCCCATGATACGTCACTGCACACTTTTTATTTCACGCCCATGAACTATATTAATATTCTCATATCCCAACCACTTTTAAATCGAATATTTTTGACACAATACTTTAATTGAAACGATTTCATTTCCAAAAAGAAAAAATTACGCACCAACCGCAATTGCGTTACTAAAAATAGATAAATATATATCATTTAGCGTAGTTATCGGGAATTATATTTTGCGCGCTAGTGAACTCATTATTGAACCACGCTCTGGTGTATCTATAAATAGCCTGCTTAGTGTTTGACCCGTCTTGTTTGACCTTTGCTGGTGAATTATGTATATAGATGTTATCAAATGGTGAGTGTATAGTGAAAGGTTACTGTATAGTGAACGTTCTCAAATGATGATTGTATAGTGAATGTTCTCAAAGTTCTTTAATGTGGTAATGAGCAGTGAAGGTGTTCTAAAAATTCTGTGAATGACCCAAAGGCGTAGCTAGAGTCTTTGGCAACCGGGAACAAGATTAATTTTAAGGAACCTTCCTTTCTTTTTTTCAACTCAAAAACCAATTATTTTCATCACTAAAATAATATCAAAGCTCATTTTTTGGCCCCCCTTACTAGTCCGGCACCCAAGGGCATCTGTCCCCTTGCTCCCCTTAGCTACGCCTTTGGAATGGCCTATATTTGGTTAGTTTGATTAAGGGTTCATAGGCTTACAAGAAAAGATACTTTTGAATAGTGGAACGTAAAAGTACTTAACAAGACCTCAATTATAACGATTTAAAAAACCCAATCAAGTCTTGACAACTCTTATCGTACGTCAGACTTCAGACTTCTCATAAGTGAACTCTGTCTTATCTTTTTGTCAGACTTCTCATAAGTGAGCTCTGTCTTATCTTTTTGGTAATTTATTCTTTTTTCTAATTAATGAAGTTCTTATCTCCATTGAGACACGCAGATGTGTAGTTGAATGCGTACTTTAAATGTGTCCTATGACTAATGGAGATAAAGTCCACCCTACTTTATCTCTCTCACTCTGATTCAATATCTATATAAACATTTTTTTTATATATTTTTTTAAAATTTCATTAATGTATATTTATTTTTAAGTTCATGATTATGTTAGTTAAATTGTATGTACAGCGTGGTGAGCCAAGCCCTAGGCTGTATGCACAGCGTGGTGAGCCCAGCCCTAGGCTGTATGCACAGCGTGGTGAGCCCAGCTCTAGGCTGTATGCACAGCGTGGTGAGCCCAGCCCTAGGCTGTATGCACAGCGTGGTGAGCCCAGCCCTAGGCTGTACGTACAGCGTGGTGAGCCCAGCCCTAGGCTGTATGTACAGCGTGGTGAGCCCAGCCCTAGGCTGTACGCACAGCGTGGTGAGCCCAGCCCTAGGCTGTATGCACAGCGTGGTGAGCCCAGCCCTAGGCTGTATGTACAGCGTGGTGAGCCCAGCCCTAGGCTGTATGTACAGCGTGGTGAGCCCAGCCCTAGGCTGTATGTACAGCGTGGTGAGCCCAGCCCTAGGCTGTATGTACAGCGTGGTGAGCTCAGCCCTAGGCTGTATCTACAGCGTGGTGAGCCCAGCCCTAGGCTGTATGTACAGCGTGGTGAGCTCAGCCCTAGGCTGTATGCACAGCGTGGTGAGCCAGCCCTAGCCTGGGGTACCGCGCCAAATAAAACCACTAATAATAAATATAATAGTAATAAATAATCCCTAAAATCTCCACCAACGTTCATTAGACTCACTCTGGTGTGACTGGTTGGTGTAGCATAACCTCACGCTCCAGCTGGCCACCAAAGCGGAAACAATGCGAGCTGTTGGACAATTGTTCAGAAAATTGTCGGTATGCACGTTGACTGGCATTGTTTTTTCTTTAAAAAAAATAATTTGACATTTTCTTTCGATCTGCAATGGTGTATTGTTCCATATTGTAATCTCACCAGTGCAATGGTGTATTGTTCCATATTGTAATCTCACCAGTGCAATGGTGTATTGTTCCATATTGTAATCACCAGTGCAATGGTGTATTGATCTCCTTTGTAAGCTCACAAATTTAATGTATATATTTTTAAAAATATTCACAAATTTTAAAAAAAAAGTTATTATTTTAAGCCAAAAAAGGATTTTTACTTAGCTCTTACATGTCTCCCCTATCTAAGCTCGGCAGCTTAGTTTTGGAGTGACCTACCATTCCACACTTCGTTTTAAATCGATTGTATCATAAACGGTTTTAAAACATCAGCTTAAAATCATAAAAAAGTTACGTACAATTCAAACAATTATCTATCTTTAAAGCTGGCCTACGTGTATTTTTAAATGCTTTGCGAATTTTCTCCAGTTAAATGATTTCAGTTTCTTTTGTGTTTAAAAAACAACAACATAATTATGTACTGATTATTATTATTATTATGTTAATGAACGGACAATTCCTAAACAGGGTAACTGCCGTAATTTTGTAACCGTAAGAAAATAACGCTCAAATCAAATCAATTATATCTCAGCCTACTTCACCATCTCTTCCTTCTTCACCATCTCTCCCTACTTCACCATCTCTCCTTACTTCACCATCTCTCCCTACTTCACCATCTCTCCCTACTTCACTAACTCTACCTTCTTCACCGTATCTCCCTACTTCACCCTCTCTTCCTTCTTCACCATCTCTCCATGCTTAACCTCTCTCCCTACTTCACCATCTCTCCTTACTTCACCATCTCTCCCTATTTCACCAGCTCTCCCTACTTCACTATCTCTACCTTCTTCACCATCCCTCCCTACTTCACCATCTCTACCTTCTTCACCATCTCTCTCTCCATACTTCACCATCTCTCCCTACTTCACCATCTCTCCCTACTTCACCATTTCTCCCTACTTCACCATCTCTCCATACTTCACCATCTCTCCATACTCCACCATATCTCCTTTCCTCTTTTCCTACCTATAAGTCTACTTTGTTTGTTTTGGTTTTTTTTAAATTTTTCAACTGAAACACACATTTTTTTACGTTGGAAAAAATAGAAAGAATTAAATTATTTAAAACAAAATTGTTGCATACAAAACATTATTTAATTTTTTTTTAATTTAAAAATGACAATAACATAATACCAGCAGATCATGTCCAAAATCGATGCAATTTACAATTTTTGAAATACATAACATATAAAAGTTTTGAAACACTGTCTGACTTTGTCAAGGTTTGGTCCATTTGTAACACCCAGGAAGACTGAGCATTCATTCATATTTTGGGTTTACTGACAAGTGTTCATAACTCTGGCAATCAAGATTTCAGTTTTAACAAAATATGTGTATGTAATTTTCTACAATATAAATATAACACTTTTAAAACAAACTTGTCCATGAAGTTGTCAGTAAGCTGGAGTTGGGGGGTATTTGAATTGTGAAATGAGGTAATTATTGCATTCAATCTCACAGGAAAACAAAATTAATTACAAAGTAAAAAAATAATTTAAAACAAAAAGTTAGCCACTGAGCAAAAGTGAACGGCCAGGAAACGCTGGGAAATATATAAGTGGCATATAATAAGTAAGGTGGTATATAATAAGTAAGGTGGCATATAGTAAGTAAGGTGGCATATAATAAGTAAGGTGGCATATAGTAAGTAAGGTGGCATATAATTAACAAGGTAGATATAGTAAGGTGGCGTTTAATAAGAAGGTGGAATATAATTAATAAGGTGGATATAATAAGTAAGATGGCGTTTAATAACTAAGTTGGCATTTAATAAGTAAGGTGGCATTTAATAAGTAAGGTGGCATTTAATAACTAAGTTGGCATTTAATAAGTAAGGTGGCATTTAATAAGTAAGGTGGCATTTAATAACTAAGTTGGCATTTAATAAGTAAGGTGGCATTTAATAAGTAAGGTGGCATTTAATAAGTAAGGTGGCGTTTAATTTCAAGGACTATATTTAAGTATTAGCATAACGGAGAAAATATACACTTGGGTAAAGGGGCATGAAGTAACCTCATCATAATTAATATTTAAAAACACAACGATTAGTCGTCCTCTTCACAGACAACTCTTGGAGATGACGTAACCCAACGACCAGCAAGTAAGAACGATCCCAGCTGTCGACAGCGCCGCTGCCCTTGAGCTAGAGCCTTGACCCTGAAACAATAATGAGGAACGCTGGTATAATTCAGAAAACTGAAACAATTCACTATAGTTCGTAAGGAATCTAGCACACTCTTACGCTAGAGATGAGAGAACATGAACAGGAAATAATTTGTAACTGATAGCAACAGAGAAGGATGCTGCTACGCAAGACGGCAAAGGGTCGGTATTTTTAAAATATTTTTTTTTCGGGGGGGGGGGGGGGTGAGGGGGCAATTGAGTAAAAGAGGCAGGCAGTTTTATGCATTCAAATAATGTAAAGAAACAAGACAGGCAGAGGCGGCCCACCGATATGCTAATCTAACGGGAATCGGTGGGCATTGGCATTCTCTTGTGGCATTTTTTAAACCCACTGAGACAGAAAAAAAACACACACACACACCCCACATCCACCTTTTTTTTCCCCTACAGTTTCCGTTACAACGCCATGTTAGGCATGTTCCCATAATTCATTGGTGTGACTTTGAAATTAAAGACATTTAGACATACTCTAAGCCAGTGGTCGGGTAAATTTTTTGTTATTATAGCTATTACATCCATCCATCCTAGTAGAACAAATGAGAGAGCTGCAAGGCCAAGACGCCCACTATGGCAGATTTCGTAGAGGGATTACCCGAGTGTTGTAATACTTCTGGTGGAACACTTAGCAAATATATATATATATATATATATATATATATATATATATATATATATAAGATATAAAAAAAAAATATATATATATATATATAAGATAAAACGAGTGTTTTATTATATATTTTGGAACAAACAGAAAATATATATATATATATATATATATATATATATATATATATATAAGATATAGAAGAAGAAGATATATATATATATTTAAAGTTGTTTCAGAGAACTTCAACTTGTTGACATCATCCTCGTGTTCCATTGTGTAAGCCGTCACAGCGTTAGTTCTTTGAGCACAAGTTAAAACAATAGGTGACCCGGGGGTGGGGGGGGGTGGGGAGTGACGCTTACATGACAAGTCTTGATCTGACACGCCCTTTTTTTCTCGAGCTACCAGTAACCACAACATTTGTTGGTGCCTTTCTCCATAAAACAGGACGTCAGACAGCAATGTTGGGATACAATTGGGGCGGTGACAAGAAACGCTGTATAAATAGTTGTCCTTATACCTCCCCCCACCCCACCAACAAAAAAAAAAGATTTTATTTTTTCACCCCCTTTTCCGGACCCCCCCCCCCCCCCCCCCTAACCACTTTATTTCGGTTCGCCCACACCCACCCCCCTTCTAAGGTTAACAAATTATTCGTCCTACAGTCAAACAATGCATCACATTTGATTCTAGCTTTAATATCTAATTTCTCAACATTCAATAGAGTTAAAATTATTTTTCTTAGAAAAGTCAAATTGACTTGACGTGTTCTTGACGCATTAGCTGCCCCATAAAGGAGCTTTATAAATTGAGAACTTATTATTATGTAAAGAAAAATACATATTTTATAAATGGTGAATATAAAATGTCTTAAATGTCTTCATAGTGACACCACTTTGAGGACTTTTAATGTTAATTTCTGTTTATTATTATAACGACATTTCGTGCGCATGCGCCCCCCCCCCCTTTTCCCAATGTCACCATGGGGAGTGAGAATAAAAACGGTCGACATTTTTTTTTTAAAAAAAAAGGTCTTTCTAAAAAGGAGGCTGATTATATCAAAAAACCGAATCACCTGTCCCGTAGATCCACTCTCATGCTTAGCGCACGGTTTCTTCCCCTCGGCGTACGGCCCGACACACGATGCATACGCCATCACCATGGGGATGTAGTTCTGCTCGTGAACACCAGAGTACAGAAACGACTGCGGACCTGCGGACAAAGAAGTAAGCTGGCGGTTGATTTCTTGAGCACTTTTTTTAAAAGCCAGGGGTGGCCCCACCGCGTGGCCCACACGAGACCCTGCTCGTTAAATCTGCGGCCTGCCACATTTATACAAAAATGATTTCTTATTCAATTTTTACATTTTTAACTTAAGGTACGCGCCGGTTTAAATCTTATAATCCAGCGGTTCTCAACCTGTGGGTTGGGGCCCCTTTGGTGGGACGAACCACCCTTTCCCAAGGGTCCCTAAGACCATCTGATAACACATATGCTCTACAGTTATGAAGTAACAACGAACATAATTTTGTGGCTGGGGGAGCGTCGCCACAACATAAGGAGCTGTATTTAAGGGTGGCGACATTAGGAAGGTTGAGAACCACTGTTATAATCAAAAGTATAAAACAACATTACTATTGAGTAACTACCATAAATAAGATAGATGTCGGCATACAACCATGTCAATGGGGGCCTTTGTTTCCACTAGCTATTTTTCTGCTGTTCTCCGATTAAGTGTAGAATGATGAAAAAAAAAAAATTGACTTTATAAAAGACCCTTCCCCACTTTTTTCGCTTCGGAGCATCCGGTTAGCGTCTTAAATTTTTACTCAAACACTCCGACCACCTTTCGAATAATTACCTTGTGCGAATATCCCAACATCTTCTCCACCATGAGTCTCAGACTTGAAGGGCACTGCTGATTGGCTCACGTAGTTTTTACTCTCTGAACGTTAGATAAGCATATGATGTAACACGAGCATTACAAACAACACAGAAATACATGTATAACATTCACACGGTCGAGTATGGGTATTCACGGGTAATTGATGCGCACCGGATATTATGTTGAATTGTGCACGGTGTGTTTGAGAGTTCGTTTAGTTAATGAACGCTTTTCACGCATTTCATTCTGTTGTATATATAATTTTTAATTGTAATTGTAAGATAAGATAAGATAAGATTCTTTTATTGATCCAAATAAATGGAAATGTTTTTTGATTGCATTATATATATATTTTCAACACATAAATGAAACAATTTGAACACAAGACATTCATAATAAATTATTTCAAACAGCCATTCAGTGAGTTCTCTTAGCAAAATCGGGGACTTATTAGTTCTCATTCAGATGTGTGACTTCAGAGGAAGCACGCCGGTACATTCGTACGGTTTGGGGAACAACAGAATTTTGACATCTGTCAGTCCTCGCCCTGATGGAAAGAATTCGCCCCGAACGGCCCGATCCTAAGTATCTAGGATGAAGAGGGTGGGATGTATCATCCAAAATGTGTTTAGTTTAAAAAAAACATCTTTCTTCAAATAGTTCTTCAAGTGAAGGATGTTTAGTTTGTGTTATGTTTCTAGGTTTCTTGATTAGTTCGTTTATGCGGTATTTAATATAAGACGTTGAATTCCCACACCAGCACGTAATACTGAAATTAAGTAGGCTTCCAATTGTTGCACTGTAGAATAAGTTAACGACTTGTTTGCTTACGCCGAAATTGTACAGTTTTTTGAGATAGAGCAGTCTTTGATGGAATTTCTTATACAGCACTTGGCCGTGCTCATGCCATGTTAGCTTATTATTAACGGTGACACCTAAGTACTTATATGCCTCCAATTTATCTACATTTTGATTTTTTTATGTTGATATCTGTAATCTGGTGTTCCCCTCCTGAAATCAACACCCATTTCCTTTGTTTTTTGGAGATATTCACCTGGATAAAATTTTCATTGCACCAATTGATAAATCTTGTAACTAAATTGCGGTATAGGCCTTCTTCAGATATTGGTGGTATCATCAGCAAATTTTAAGATTGGAACGGCGTCCCTTAAGCTCTGAATATCATTGGGAGATATTGTCTACAGTACAGGGGAGAGAACGCAGCCTTGCGGTGCCTCGATGCTTATTTATGACGTAGTGTGTAGAATGTGTTTGGTGGGTTTGAGAGTTAGTTTAGTACATTAACGCTTTATACCGCCTTTAAGTTTATTACGTGTGGTAATGTGCCACTTGTTGTTTTGTTGTATGTGGCTGGGTGCCGCCTACATTTGTAGGCTGCCACCTATGGGGTTTTCTTTTCCATGTTCAGTCACTGAACTGGGGCCGACATGTCCCACGGGGGAACCTGTCCCAAGGGGAACCTGTCCCAAGGGGAACCTGTGCCACGGGGGAAACTGTCCCACGGGGAACCTGTCCCACGAGGGACTGGGAAAACAGCTCAGGTTGGGGACGTGATCGTGACCTACATCAGGGAGGTGGACCGTAACCCCGGTGTGTGTGAGTTCTGAGCTGTGGACGAGTGTTCAGTAGGGTGTGAAAACAGTTGATGAGACGGTCAGTAAAACGGTTTGTGCCTAATTGATAAAGAAGCTATAGTTCTCAGACCTGCAGTTTATTGTGTTTATTTTAAACTGTATTAGCAACCACCACCACATGGCTACATACATATATATATATATATATATATATATATATAATATATATATATATATAATACACATAACATAGTGTGTAGAATGCCTTTGGCTTATGTTCATTTTTTTGTTTAGAGAACCTTGTAGTAGGTGGTTTTACATTATTCTCCCTGTTATATCGAGCCGCTTTGTACATATGTTTGATTCAATGTACTGCCTGATAGATTACAGGCTTCTGTATAAAAAGTTGACATTGTTAATGGGGAAGCACTCGCGATCAATTCGGTGTGATGGCGACGAGGTACGTGTAGAAGAATTATTGGATGAAAGAAACCAATCAAATGCGGATCAGCGACATACATTACACAAGTAGAGGAAAACAGATAGCATGCCAAAAGAACAACACACAAAATACAATAACAACCATTATGGGAAGACAAGGGTTAATTGGATATAGTAAAACGTATGTATTAGAGTGAATTAGAACAGGATGAGAAACGTATGGTATGCGTGCCAGACGAGACACGTATTTAGATTTCAATGGCACGCTTGGGGCCAAAAATTAATAATGAAGGACAATAAAACAGTGCACTCCGCAAAATAGAGAGACTGGTAGAATAATGGCTGATCACAAGGGAGACTGGTAGAATAATGGCTGATCACAAGGGAGACTGGTAGAATAATGGCTGATCACAAGGGAGACTGGTAGAATAATGGCTGATCACAAGGGAGACTGGTAGAATAATGGCTGATCACAAGGGAGACTGGTAGAATAATGGCTGATCACAAGGGAGACTGGTAGAATAATGGCTGATCACAAGGGAGACTGGTAGAATAATGGCTGATCACAAGGGAGACTGGTAGAATAATGGCTGATCACAAGGGAGACTGGTAGAATAATGGCTGATCACAAGGGAGACTGGTAGAATAATGGCTGATCACAAGGGAGACTGGTAGAATAATGGCTGATCACAAGGGAGACTGGTAGAATAATGGCTGATCACAAGGGAGACTGGTAGAATAATGGCTGATCACAAGGGAGACTGGTAGAATAATGGCTGATCACAAGGGAGACTGGTAGAATAATGGCTGATCACAAGGGAGACTGGTAGAATAATGGCTGATCACAAGGGAGACTGGTAGAATAATGGCTGATCACAAGGGAGACTGGTAGAATAATGGCTGATCACAAGGGAGACTGGTAGAATAATGGCTGATCACAAGGGAGACTGGTAGAATAATGGCTGATCACAAGGGAGACTGGTAGAATAATGGCTGATCACAAGGGAGACTGGTAGAATAATGGCTGATCACAAGGGAGACTGGTAGAATAATGGCTGATCACAAGGGAGACTGGTAGAATAATGGCTGATCACAAGGGAGACTGGTAGAATAATGGCTGATCACAAGGGAGACTGGTAGAATAATGGCTGATCACAAGGGAGACTGGTAGAATAATGGCTGATCACAAGGGAGACTGGTAGAATAATGGCTGATCACAAGGGAGACTGGTAGAATAATGGCTGATCACAAGGGAGACTGGTAGAATAATGGCTGATCACAAGGGAGACTGGTAGAATAATGGCTGATCACAAGGGAGACTGGTAGAATAATGGCTGATCACAAGGGAGACTGGTAGAATAATGGCTGATCACAAGGGAGACTGGTAGAATAATGGCTGATCACAAGGGAGACTGGTAGAATAATGGCTGATCACAAGGGAGACTGGTAGAATAATGGCTGATCACAAGGGAGACTGGTAGAATAATGGCTGATCACAAGGGAGACTAATAAAATGTTGACTAATCACAAGGGAGCTTGATACAATGTTGACTGGTCACAAGGGAGACTGATAGAATGTTGGCTGATCTCAAAGGAGACTGATAGAATGTTGGCTGATCTCAAGAGAGACTGATAGAATGTTTGCTGATCACAAGGGAGATTGATAGAATGTTGGCTGATCACAAGGGAGACTGATATAATATTGGCTGAATGAATTAGAAATCTTACTGTGGCACACTTTTACCTATAGTTTGTCGACCCAAGTATTCGACAATAAGAAGTGTAGTCAGAAAATTATGGACTTGTTATAAAAAAAATAATGTTACGCTCACCGGGTAGCTATTTCTTTGCATTTGGAAAGGGGAAACGTTGGATGATAAGAAGAGATAAGTAAACAAGGATACTAAATGATACATATGGAGAAATTTGCCTCACAAACAAATTGACAGATTTAGAAGGAATAGTTTCTATGAAATGTTTGGAGACCGTCCAGTAAAATGTGTAAGTTTGGAAGAATGGATAGATGGATTGATCGATGGATCAGTTGGTTGGACAGATGATAAAGAAACTCAACTGACCCGTGTCTACTCCTGTTATGTTCGGCCTGGGTTCACGGTATCCTGGTCCGTTACCGTACAGTAGGGTGGTGTACGGCTTCTTGTCTGAGGCCGCCAGGCTTGGGACTTTATCATCGTTATCACTGAGACCTGTGAGTTAGTCATTGTAAAATGTCTATTTCCTGAAGCTGCAGAATGTATTTTAGCTATGAAGACCATCGTTTGAAACAATATATCCATTAATGATTGTTTCTTTTTGGCACCCAGTGGATCAATCAACATTATCCACACAAAAAATAAAAATAATAATTCTCGTGGTATGTCTGTCTAGAACTAACGCTAAATGATTCGACAATGTAGTATTTTCAGAATATGTAGTTATGTTCCCTTAAAAATAATTTTTGAAATTTATTTTTTTTGTTAGAAAGAGAGATAACATTTGGAAAAAAGTTGCATTTCAAAAATATGTGATTGCGTCCCTGTTTAGCATCACTACTTTAATTATTTATCACGTTGTGTTCCAACTTCCTTAATTTGTGGGGTATAGTCTTATATATTTATAATTTTGAAAAAGGTTTAATTCTGATGCCCACGAAAATGATGATGAACGATGGTGTTCATGATGTTCGCTGCAGTTTTTCCATCATTTAATAATTTGTGCTGCGATTATGATGTTTAAATAGAAGTTTTAGGCGAACCGTTGTTAACTTCCACCTCACCTAGGATAGGGTTTCCTCTCGTGGCGTACCCGGCCAGATTCATGACGTGAGAATGGTCAGCGGAGACCACTATTAGTGTGTCGAACGGATCGGTGAGTTTTGTGGCCACTTCTACGGCCTGGGCCATGGCCACCACCTCGTGCAGGGCGTGGGCCGGCCGGGTGTCATGGTGTCCATGGTCAATACGACCACCTGCAACAAAAAAAAAATGTTTTAAAAGCAGTATAAAACTTACCAGAGTTACCACCCCTACCCCCCACTTTTACATATTTCCTGTTTACTCGATGTTATGGGCCCCCCTCCACCCACGCCCCAACCAGGCCCGCTTTCTGAACTGAAAGAGCCAAATTGGTATTTAAATTTTACTCGTAAATAAACGTAAGTTTAGTCGTGCTAAATGGATTGTTTAAAAATAGTTCTCATAAAACAATTTTAGATAGAGATAAGTGACGTCACTCAAAATTTCCAAAATCTGTTTTAATTCTTTTTAAAGTTTATTTCTCCTTTCAATAAAAAATATAAAAAAACACAATAATAATACTAATTTACGATCCTTCCTTTCAGTTGTTTAGCAGTTCAATGAAAAGGAAACAAGTATTTGTATTTGTTCTATTGGACAGTATTGCTACTCAATATTCAGTTAGACATAAAATGGAATAAAAAATGTCTAAATTCATTGTCACACTATAAACATCTAAAATTAGCTAACTTTATTATATTTTCCACTCTAGTTCCACATCTTTTAGAAAAATTAACGGTTGCAAAAAATTAAAATGAAAAATGAAAAAAATAAAATAAAATACAAAAATAATATAGATAAAAACACTAAACGGCTAAGTAGGAAATTTGTAATGAAACAATTATGTCTTTATAATGTTAATTCACGCAGGCAACAATGAGTTACAAATTAATCTTCGTTTTCAATCATAACCCCGTGGCAAAGAACCACCACTCTGTTTGATAACGGTTATCAAAACTTGTCACTAATTTATTCCCCCCTTTTTCATTAAAATCCTCAATGACGATTGCAGAAAGTACACACAAACGTTTCTTCATGTTTACTATTTCAGCTCATCTCCAAAACTAACAACGCCCGAACACACCAAGGGGACATCTCTAGCTAATATATTCTTTAAAAAAATGCGTTTGAAAGACATTGTTTTTTTTTGTTGTTTTTTAAGCGCTGTCAAATGTCACTCGTGCGTTAAAGGCAACTTAGAGACATCAACGGTATACGACAATCTCCGGCACATTTATTCCTAAGAGATAGAAAGGAAACTCACTACTATTGAAATTTAAAAAAAAATATTGTTCACCAACCGTATTGTAAAGTTAAATCTTTCATTTCAACCAGACCACAACCGACCTTCAACAAACAGGAAAAAACCCTTGCTGTTTTTCTTGAGAATCTGAATGGCCTTTTCCGTCATGTCCGCAATGGACGGCTCCTTTGTCTTATTTCTGTCCAACTCGTAACTCATGTGACTTTGGGTAAAAAGGCCTGGGGAAAATAGGGGCAATAGATGAGAGGGAATATTATAGCCTGACATGACCCATACGTGACATGAACTTCACGTGACATGAACTTTACGTTTAGTTTCCGGCTATTTCAACACTAACCCAAGAGATAATCTGTCCGCGTTGAGTCCACCGAGTCAAATCCCTTCTTGTTGTGCACAAACCGGTGCCTTGCTTTTTTGCTGGCCATGATATCTTGCCATTCCTTGAGGACAGGAACAAAATAAACTTTTGACAACACCAATACGTTTTTTTTTACAAAACATTCTTTATTAAGTCATCCCAAATAAGCAACTGTTCATAGACCTAAGTCAGACCTTAGCCGATTAACAGAAGAAACAATGAATGTCTACACACTTGAAGCTGTGCTTTTGGCTTCTTTAATGCCGGCCTATAGGTATTAAATAATTTTAAGTATCATCATTGAATGCTGACTTATTGGTGCTAGAATGAACTTTAAAATTAATTATTAGATGCTGGCCCATAGGTATTAAATACTCTTAAATGCCATCATTGGATATTTATCAAAATATATTTTTTCATGAACTCTACAGCATTTAATCTTTTCAGAAAATTGCATTTCTTACATTTATACAACTTGGCCGCAGTGCTTACCGGGAGTTGAGAGAATTAAATCGTTTGATAGCGATGCTAAATGTATGCTAAGGATCGCTATTCAATATGACCCTTGCTTCATACCTGAATGAGATTGCGCCCGTCAGCTCTGCAGACTTTCGATGTGTTGAATGTGGGGTCTGGTTCGGGGTCTGGCGCGTCGACGGGATAGAAGTACGCCCTTCCGCCCCCCATAACTACCTGGGGGCCATAATAGAAACTTTTAGCCATGAATCTGACTTGGTCAATGGTGTCTCATTCATTGTTAAGTGATTTCACTAACACTGCGTTTTTATGAGCATTCAAAGATATGCTTTAAATTAATTTAATCTTCAATGGTTAGTTTAGTTTATAATTTGCTTGTCCCATGTCTGTGTCAGAGCTCCTTTTTAGTAGTGTATAAGAAATGTATGATCAATATTTTCTATTGATCTCACTGATAACGACGGGATACGCTCAACGCCAAATAGCATTAGCCACCGCCATTCTCTGTAGCTGAATACTTTTAAAAACTTGTGGATTGATATCCATTTAACTTAGTTATCTTAAACAGAATTATAGTAAGCGATAAATAAATACGTACTTTAGTTGCTTTTTATAATGTATCCATTTAAAATTGATATTTTCTTGCGTTTTATATAATTACTGACAGAGACGCCACATAAAGCGTTATTTATAATCATAAGGGTGTCAAGCTGATAACGTAAGAACCTGGGAAAATTGACATCCAGAGTCAAATGCCTTTTGGACGAGCAGACATGTCTGAATGGGGCGTTCAATAGCAGCGCCATACGCCCCCCCCCCGCGCAGGGCCTCATCGCGGTGAGTCAATTTCCTGATTAATGATGTGTAAGTTTTGTCTCCGGGAATTCCCTACGGAACACAAGCAACACGCGCCATTCCATTAAACCTGTTCACATCCCAAACACTTTCCTTGGACAAATCCGGATACCGAATCCCAGACTTTTCCTTAGGTCAAAAAAAGCGTTTCGCTTACCTTACCTAATCCCAGGAACATTTCTATCTAAAAAAAGTTCACAACATCCTTCATAGTTACCGGCATCTCACCACGTCTGACAAACAATATCGCATTACTGAAATGAGGGTAGGCGGCTTTAGATGTTAGAAACTTCGAGATATCCAGGTGTTTTAAGACATCACAAACATTTTTTGATTACGTGTAGACACTTATTGCTTACATTGATGTCGTTATTGTCAGAGATGAGCTGCAACGCTATGTCTGCACAGTCCTTCTCTGCATGGGGAATATTTCTGCATGTATATTTAAAAAAAAAAAAAAGAAAAAGAAAAGAATCTGATGTATTTTGTTTGGTTAAAAAATCCAACAAATTTTAATAACATTATTGTTATTTTTAAAAACAATATATTAAAGTCCTTTCGTCCCATTTGTTAAGTTACTTAAAATCTAGTATTCATGAATCGGTAGGACATTTGAAGCTGCATAGCGTTCGGATTTTTCAGATGGCGCAGCAGAGCCGTCGATTGGGACCTGCGTCCCCTTAGGCTGCAAAGGGGTTGGGGGTCATCGGATATTTAAGGGGTCTAACAGTGTGATGGGGAGAAAATTAAATTAAAGAAATATGTTTAATGTCACATAATAGCTAAATATAAAACAAAGAGTGTGTGTTTTTTTTTTTTGGGGGGGGGGGCTTTGAGGCTATCAATAGATAATAGAGCATTTTAATTTAAGTTAAGTTGATCTAAGTTAACTTGACCCCAGGTAAACCTGTTCTGATTCAAATAGTTTCAGCCCTTCGTGTGTTATTCTCCTGATGAACCACAGAGCTGAAACTTTTCACCATCCAATTAATTATCTGTAAGACATTTCTAATAACTATGTTGTGCTCCTTTTTCTTTTGTTTTTTAAATTAACCTTCTCGGCTTTTAAAAAAAGCTTCATTCTTCAATTAAAAGAAGTTAAACAAACAATCAGTTTGTCATTCCTGAGCTGACAATGAATTGGTCATTCCTGAACAGACAATTTAAAAAAAAAAAATAGAAAAGAGTTCAAAGTTCAATAAAATCTCAGAATAACGTTTCATGCCTGTCAACAATTTGCGTTCATTTCAATCGCATCAGTGATCTCAACAATGGTGTGTACAAGGCGAACATGTACATTCGACAGTTTCTCAAATGAAGAGATACAAGTTAGGGCCACAAATAAGAGATACGAAAACAAATTGCAAAAAAGAAAAAAAATATGCACTAATCAAAAATGTTTCCCCAAAATGTAATTTCTCTCGGTGCATTGGACAATTTATTGGCTATGTCGTCTTTATCGTAGAATGTTCACAATTCATTCAAGAAACTTGTCAGAAGCGCTGGAAGCAAAAAAAAAATCTTATAAGGAAACTGTACCTATCCGACTCCCAGTCTCTGTCAGCTGAGTGAGAGTAAGCTGCCCCTGGAGACGCGTGAGTTACCCGAGCTGTCGTCACGATGCCTGCGGATTTCCCTGGTGGAAGACGGTTATGAAAGTAAAGTGTCGTTGGGGTACACAAGAGCGCCCCGCAACCAAAGTAAAACCGTCAAACATTGGACACATGTTTGATACGTTTTCAACTTGACTTGTGTGGGGTATGCCTGCTTGTCTGTCTGTCTGTTTGTCGTGGTTATGGACTTCTTCGCTACGGGAGATGGCCAGCCTTGGATGCAGAGCCCGAATTTTTATTGTTGTTCGCTTATTTTAAAAAAGGGAAGAGGGAGAATGCAGATAAAACAGTGGTTAAGTCCATTAGGATACAGTCATTGTTGCATTTCTCCTAAAATTCCTGTCAGTTTTATTCGAGACATGTCTCTTATTACATTCAGTCCAGATACATTTTACGAGGGGAAAAAAATTCATTACAGTAAAGTGGCATTTTAGGCTATTGGCATAATTTTAACATTTTCTACAAACAAAAGCTAGTATAAAAAAAAAAAAGAAAGAAAATTAACACAACGTATTTTTTCCCCAAAGTATTTCTGTTTTTCAAAGTAAATGTACATAGATTTAATGAACCTATAAGCGTGTTGTGCTGCAAATGTACACATTTATGTGTGTGTGAATTTTAGCAGGTCTTCAGAATCGTAATCGAAGAAGGAAAAGAGGATTTTTTTTACAAAAATCGACGTGCTAACAACAACTAAAAAATAACTCTTGACACTAAAATTGAAAAAAATAAAATAATTCGATGCACCATTTGCAAGTCTCACTTTTAAAATAAATAATATCAAGAGGCCATTTAGTGAAGTTAATTTATTTTAGTGTGCCATGATATTGAGAGGGCAGTGGTCAGTTTAAACAGAGAATAAATTATAACAGAGAATAATCATATCCCCAAAATTCTTAGGCTTGATTACATGATTCCATATAAAAGATTTCCTCCTAGCTTGTTTTTGAATAATATCCGGTCAACTCAGAACTACGTTGTTTTATTCTGAGGTCTTGTGTATCATGTCTCAGGATTTTAAACTGAAACGTCTTTGTTAATTTTTCCCCCTGCCCCGTGTTTTATATTTATATTTCTTTTGCTCCATTTCGGAATCGTAATTTTTAACTACATCCACGGCCACATTAGCTATTGAGACATTATCTTGTGAGATCCACATTTAATATTATTGTGTTTTTAACCTGCATTTAGCGACCATCGGAGGATGGAGTCGACGTGGGCACCCTCTGTTGAATTGCAGCGCTTCCTTATGGCGGCGCCACTGAGCCCTAGTAGGCCCTGGTTCGTCTTCACGCCCGTCAGGTAAGCCGTGCCAGAGGCTGCTGAGTCGGTGATTTGGTGGTCAACGTTGTACGTCTGTGACGAAATTTAATTAAGCCACGTAACATGTAAGGCAGCGTTTCTCAACCTTCCTAAAGCCGCGACCCTATTATACAGTTCCTCATGTTGTGGTGACCACCAAACGTAACATTATTTTCGTTGCTACTTCATAAATGTGTTTTCCAATGGTCTTAGGCGAACCTTGTGTAAGAGTCGCTCGCCCCCTAAAGGGGTCGCGACCGACAGGTTGAGGACCGCTGATCTAAAGACACGTCTCTCTATCTCCCTCTAACTATCTTTATATCACTCACCCCTTGTCTCACTCTCTATTTTATTTTTTTTCCTCCCTATGGTCCTTTCTATACCTCAACCCCCACCCTCCAACCTTAAAAAAAGTAGCTTTTTTTCGAATCTTTATCGCTTATATATGTGAGCCCCAGGTTTACCCCATATATGAGACAGCCTTCACACGTAACCATAGTATTTTTACGCATTGTTCAGAGCTTAAGTCTTAAAATACATTTCTTAAGATTTAATTTTTATGAATTGGATTACAATAAAGTTTTGGATTCTTCCAAGTAAAAAAAATCCATTTTATAAATTAAAAAAAAAAAAATTAAATACCAAAGAATGACAATTCTAGGACGGCATAAAAAATGTGTAAGTAGTTTTAGGCCCCAAAATTACACCATGAGACCCAGGGCATGGAGTTTACTGGTTGGTCCGAATTGCATGTCACAGTATAATGGTATCGGGATTGTCGGACTCTGAACAGAAAACTATTTTAACAGCATTAACTGTTTGAAAACCCATCTTACCCTGGACAGTCCAGTGAAGGGGAACTTGTCAAAACTTAGTTTTTGCTCTTCTCCCTTGAAGCCAAGTAGCTGACCAGCCAGAATTCTGGCCGCGGTCACGGTGGTTGGGCCCATGCCATCCCCCAGAAAGAATATCACATTTTTAGCCACGCCCCTGGGCCGTTCCCTTAATGTGTCCTCCAGCTCCTTCTGGGCCATGTTGTGCCAGTAAGTGGGATCTGTGCGAACATGTTATACTGTTAATAATATATTGGTAAAACGGCCTTACTTTTAACGATAACATATGGGTAATCAGCTGCCAGTTACCTATCGTAATTACTGCAATTAAAATGTAGCTTACTATGGCTAAAAGTCATATCTGAGACGGAGATTCTACCGCTATGTCATTAGTCTCAGGATTTGCCACGTTCATCATAACATTATGTCACTAGTGTCTGGATCTGACATATGCATCATAACATTATGCCATTATTCTCTGGGGTTGGTATGTTCATCAGAGCATATCTCATGTTTCTTTTGATGTTTTTTTTTTACCTCAGAATGCTTTTACACAAATACTACAGGCTAAAACAAAAACAACAACACACAAACATATTATATCATGGACCTTGTTCATAATTGTTATCGTTCACGTCTGATTGTGCCACGCCCACCATAACAGCAGCTACCAGCACTGCGATTAAGATGACACATGCACAGAAGGACATGATGCTGAAATAAATAATAATAAAAAAATCTGTTAAGCTTTTTAAACTTTCAGAAATCATATTATGCGGGCTTTTCATTACCTCGCATAGTAATGCCTTACACAGGAACCGCCCTCCTCTGTTGACCCAAGGGACTCTTCTACAAAACAATAACATGTCACTTAATTTGGGAGAGTTTCTTTGGCAAATATTCCATAATGACACAATATTATTTTCTCGTGTTAGAAATGTATGGTTTGAGACGGTGCTAAGCTGTAATAGAACTGTATGGTTGGATGCAGTACTAAGTTATATTAGAAATATATGGTTGGGGCAGTACTAAGTTGTATTAGAACTGTATGGTTGGATGCAGTACTAAGTTATATGAGAAATATATGGTTGGAGGCAGTACTAAGTTGTATTAGAAATGTATGGTTGGAGGCAGTACTAAGTTGTAATAGAAATGTATGGTTGGAGGCAGTACTAAGTTGTATTAGAAATGTATGGTGGAGGCGGTGCTAAGCTGTACCTTGATTTCTCAACCATTCTTATACGAATCTGTCAGTAAATTCTTTAAAATTTATTTTTAAAGTTTGCAGTGTGGCTGTGACATATTAGCAAAATACTCAGTACAAAGGCGAATGAGCAGCTAACCCTTCGCCTTTTAGTGACCCCACGACAAGGGATCTAATTATTTTTGTTTGGGATCAAGGGCTTTATTTGATCTTGGTACGCATATGGGGAGCTTTAGGGGCCCCCATTGGTTTTAATTTCAGCACTGGAAGTATTCATAAGACACGAAGGTTGGGTATAAAAAAATCAAATTGCCTTTTGTGTATCAAACCTGCACCCACTCCCGCCCTACCTGCCCGGAGTCATTGTCCTTGCGTAGCATAATTTTAGGGGGTAACATCTACAGCAGTGGATCTCATCGATTTTCTGCCCACCTACCACCTCTCGGCCCGATAAACTCACCCCACTTGCCAAACCCAATTATACGCATATTAAGAATATGTTTTTCAAGAGACCCTTTTTGGGGGAAGACAATTACAAATGACATTTCAGTTTGTAACATATATTTGAAAATTTCAGCAGAAAACTATCGCATTTTTATTATTTTAATCACATAATTATACGTTGAATAATTTACTCAAGCTGTACCATGGTAAGATAATTATAATTAATTATCAAAAGTTCCTATATCTTTTATTTAGATTTCTACCAAAACGGTCTTTTCTCTTCTTCGTGTTACAAAAATATAACTTTTATCGACTCTTCCTTGTCACCGGTTCTCAAAACCATAATATATGGGGTCTGAATATATATAAATTTAATTAAATAACGCTTGCCCAATTTAATGTTCACCCTCCCCCTCTATGATGGTTCCAGCGCCCCAAACATTGTCAAAGCCCGTGGCCGCCGCCTTGACAACACTTTTAGAGCTACTGATCTACACGATTACGATACATTTATTATTTTGCATTTTACCCGGGCTTCACAATGTTGGATGTGAGGCTTCATGTGAGGCTTCACAACGTTGGAAGTGAGGCTTCATGTGAGGCTTCACAACGTTGGATGTGAGGTTCACAACGTTGGATGTGAGGCTTCATGTGAGGCTTAACAAGTTTGGATGTGAGGCTTCACAACGTTGGAAGTGAGGCTTCACAACGTTAGATGTGAGGCTTCATGTGAGGCTTCACAACGTTGGATGTGAGGCATTTTGTGAGGCTTCACACTGTTGGATGCGAGGCTTATTACTTTTCGTCTTACAGTCAAGAAAATACATGCATTATAGCTACCACCTCTGATTCATACATGACTGCATGCATTATGATTCCACCGGAAATTGAACGACTGGCCACATCACTTTCACAAGACACACCAACCTCCTAAATAGTTCATACATCACATGTTCTTCCCCCCCACACCCCCCACCCCCATATCCTCTCAAATCAGATTTACATAATACCATAAATGAGTATCTAGCGCGGTTGAAGAATCGGCTGAAGAGTCGAATATTGTGTTTAAACGCACCAATCTCCGGAAACACAATTAATGTAGCTGTGTTATACGACTCCACAAGTACCATGTAAAATATTTCATTTACATCTCTTCCTGGTGAGTATGTAAAGCGAATCCCGATTCGGATACGTAATCGTCATCAACCCCCGATACTGTCCCGATACTGCGAGTCCTATTCCACCACAGCACTGCTAGTCGTGTGATCTTTTTCCCTGTTTCCGGCAGACAACTTTCCCTGTTTCCGGCAGACAACTTTCCCTGTTTCCAGCAGACATCGTTCCCTGTTTCCGGCAGACATCCTTCCCTGTTTCCGGCAGACATCATCGTTCCCTGTTTCCAGCAGACATCCTTCCCTGTTTCCGGCAGACATAATCCTTTCCTGTTTCCGGCAGACATCCTTCCCTGTTTCCGGCAGACATTCTTCCCTGTTTTTGGAAGACGTCCTTCCCTGTTTCCGGCAGACATCCTTCCCTATTTCCGGCAGACATCCTTCCCTGTATCCGGCAGACAGTTTTGAGTGTGTGTATTTCTTTGTGTGTGTTTGTATGTGTGTTAAATCAACAACAATAGTCCTTTTTTTTCATCCCGCGTTAAAAATATAATCTCAAATTCTTGCCGTGGCTAGCGAACTAACTATGTAACTCCATTTTAGTTATATTTTTATAAGCCTAGTTTTGTCACCAACATCCGGCACATATCATGCTATAGAAACGTAAGCTATTCTTACACCGAGACAACACATGTCTTGCTATTTACACTTACCTTTACCATTCTTATTTGTTTCAGCAGGTCTCTTCGTATAGCCAAATGAGCTTACCTTGTGACGTCACGCGTCTTATACATATGTATTCTAATCTTAACTTGAGAGGACTAATTTCTTAAGATGTAAAATACGCGTGCAATACATATATTTATACATATATATTTATACACATACAAGTTAGTAGTCTTACCCCGAGGCGGTAATCCTCTTGCTATATTTCCCTTACACTTGTCTCCGTTTCCCCCTCTTGTGAACCTGTAGTGTTAAAATGGTTTAGCTGGCACTATTCGCCTTTCTCGGAGAGCTGTTTGCGTGTGACATTGTGTGACATGAACATAATTGGATCGATCGTCTTTCCGTTGTTCCACATTGCCAACCTGACCCCTTCCCACCCCCTGCCACCCCCACGACCCTACATGGCCAATAGAACCTGACCATAACTAAACATATTGAAAACCAAATGTCCAGGTGTTGTCAGAAGTCAATTTGATATTTCTACTCAGCTGTCTATGAAAGTAGGGGTTGGGGTGGGGGTGGGTGGTAAAGTTTAAAACTGATTCAGAGGTTCAAAAACTTGGGTGCTGGGGCATCCAAAGAAGCCTCGACTTCCTCGCAGGGGCACCGCGAGGAATGTCTGAATGTAATATTACGCGACATCTAGAGGACTTGACGCAAGCCAGTAACCCACCTAGTCATAAACGTTTGCGGGATCTTACTCATAAAATTTTGCGGGAACTTAGTCATACACGTTTGTGGAATCTTAGTCATAAATGTTTGAGTGAACTTAGTCATTATTGTTTGCGGGAAGCTATTCATAAATGTTTGAGGGATCTTATTTATAATTAATTTTTGCGGGAACTTAGTCATAAATTTTTTAAGAAATTGTTCATAAATCTTTGCGGGAACTTAGACATAGATGTTTGAGGGAACCTAGTCATAAATGTTTGAGGGATCTTATTTATAATTAATGTTTGCGGGAACTTAGTCATACATGTTTACAGGAACTTGGTCATAAATGTTTGCAGTAGCTTAGACATAAATGTTTGCTTGAAGCTAGACATAAATGTTTACGGGAACGTAGTCATAAATATTTACGGACGCGTTTACAAAAGGGTACAAGATGGCGTTCTGTAATTATTAAGTTTATCGATTGCTTTCGGATATAAAAAAAAAGGGGACTGTCGGTTTCCAGCAGTCCTTGTGTTGAATAAATATTCGGGGATTGTATCAAATGAGTGTGAATGTTGTTGTGACTATGACAAGAGAAGTCATTGAAGGCTCTCGCCTCCTTTGTAGTTTCAGTTATTGGAGCGATTATTACTCAACAGTGAGAATTAATGTGACAAAAAATGGATACGCTATTACTCAGTGCAATTTTTTTTTTTAGATTTCACCAAGGGCGCCTTGGGGAAACCTGAATGCTGGAAGGGCACCATGACTCTAAACGCTTTGGGCATCTCTTGGACTAGTAGCTGGGGCATCTTGAAAATATTGGCCTACATACAATAATTTGAAATATTGTATTTGAATAAACGTCTGGGGATGGGTTTTTTTTTTTTTTGGTTAGCAACACATACCACATAGTACTTACCTCTACACACCACAGTTTACAACACCTACCACATAGTACTTACCCCTACATGCTAACAACCCTTACCACATAGTACTCACTTCTACACACCACAGGGTCTATAGTTGGCAGTTAAAGTTTTATAATTCAATAACATGCCTCTCACGGATCACTGTAACTAGACCAGTGGGACGAGACCAATTTATCGAGACCTCCTTTTGAGACCTCCTTACGTGACCTCCTTACGAAGACATAATCTCATTGTCTCCGTTGGGGACAGAAGTTACGGTATACTCTGAGAGCTGTTGAAAGCAGCTATTGTTCAAGCATTGGTCAAGCTCTAAACCTAGCTAGGCTCTGGCAATAACGGTATTTTCTTCTGGTAAATAAATTACCCACTCCGTTAACACGATCTCTCCTTTGGTAATACATGTACGTTTGTGAATAGTCTTGAAATAATTCAGCGTGTCTTACCGTAAATGCTGGCTCGAACAAACCCTGGGTCTCTCGACTCTGATATCCGGGGACAGGACGTCTCTGCGGGATCCAACGAGCTGCTGCCGCTCGAGCATATTTCAAAAAATTGTCCACATTGCTTATCTCCCGTCTTGTTGTACGCCGTTAACTCCCATTGAGAGAGACTAAAATTTGTTCTGCTAATTGCCAGCGTTATCAGTTCTCTGGCAACAGTGAACAACCCTCTTGCCGCTGTTCAACTACATGGTCAAATAGTTCTTAAGCGTTGCTGGAGTGTTATGACTCCATTAAACTGCTAAATTTTCAGCATTGGGGTCCATATGAGTGGATTTGGGTCGGGACGGATCCACGCAAAGATGTCAGGAGGGTTTAAAACAAAAACACAAAAAAGCAACACCTGACACAAGGCTAAGAGTCTAAAAATAGTCCGATTGTTATTTGTGTAATATGGGCTTAAAACGAAACCATGTATTGGGTTCCTGAAACCTCCTCGCCATAAAAAGATCCGCCCCTGTATCTCCCCTGTGTTTAGCGTGTCGTTGGGATATCAGGAAGCCTTATCGCGATGGCAACAACCAGGGATGCGTAGCAATAAATGAATCTGAATTAATTTACAAGCCGCGAATGACATGCCTCCTTCTTCATGGGCATTTTGTGTTGGTCCTAGGGGGTGGGGTGGGGGGGTCGTTCACAAATTACGTCACGCTCAGGGGAGAGGGGGGTGTCGAGAATTTGTGACACTTTGTGACAGGGGGAGGGGGGGTCAAAAAATTTTTGACTTCACAATTGTTAAACTTTTTTTTTTTAAATATTAAATTGTCTCATTGTCTAAAAAAATGCAGTTAATTAAAAAAAAAACCCATTAATTTGAGGTCGAAATTGCCTCATGTATCATAGGGACCGTAAACCCCAAGTCAAAAAATTTTTTACTTCATAATTGTTAAACTTTTTTTTTTTAAATATTAAATTGTCTCATTGTCTAAAAAAAATGCAGTTAATTAAAAAAAAAACCCATTAATTTGAGGTCGAAATTGCCTCAGGTATCATAGGGAACGTAAACCCCAGTCGTGCAGACCATTTGCGCAAAAAAACTGTTGTGGCCATTTTACATTCGGCCTCGAGGATGACTTCATTGTTTCGTGTCACAGATTACTAATGCTTCATCTTATTCCATTATCATTATGGGAAAATCTTGAAGAATGAAGTCAAATTTTAATTGAGTTATGAACATTTTATGTATGTTTTGACTTTTTAAGGTTTAACGTGAAACTAGAAAAAAAAGGGGGGTGGGGGGAATTTGCGACACTTTGTGACCGGGGGGTGGGGGGTCTAAAAAAGGTAATTTTTTGCTTGACTTAATTTGCGAACCATTCCCACAATTAAAATTTAATTTATATGCCCCCTAAACACGGGAAATTTAGTTTTATTCTAGAACGTAAAGATACTTTTAAAGACATGGATCAAGAACAAAAATTTAGGCACAACACCTCTTTGTTATGCTATTAAACATCATCATCATTCAGATCCATTAGCCGTTTTGGGAATTTTCCTATACTATTAAATATCATCATCATTCAGATCCATTAGCCGTTTTGGGAATTTTCCCATACTATTAAATATCATCATCATTCAGATCCATTAGCCATTTGGACATGTGCCCATACTTTTAAACGTCTTTGATTGAATTACCGTCATAGTTTGCGGAATATAGGAATATAATTTTTTAAGCATGATTATTTTATATTGTTTATATTGCTATCTATTTTCATAAATAGCTTTAAAAAAAAAGTCTTAGGGCCTATGGCGTTGTTACAGTTTTCCCATTATGTTTTCATTACCCACGCTCAAAACAGTTACCGGAAATTTGCTCGAAAGAAATTTCGTCGACGGTAAAGAGATCGACAGAAATTTGATCGAACGCAAATTTGGTCGAATTTATTTTTCAGTTAACACGTTACAATTTTGGTCAAATTTATTTTTGAAAAGCACTATACGCTATAGCAAAACAAAACAATGCGTGGGCAAGAAGCAATGTGAAGCAACATGTTAACGTCAAAATTAAAAAAAATATTTGACCAAAATTTCTTGTGATCAAATTACCGTCGATCAATTTACTGGCGGGGAAATTTCTTTCGATCAAATTTCCGGATACGCGCTTAAACAGCTCATTGACTTTTTTTTTTTTTTTTTGGGAGGGGGTGTTTTTAGAAATAATTCCCATTCTTGGAGCATTTTCAGAAGCACTCACCGCCACAAGAGTGCCATGATATTACGACTATTGAAGCCACAATGAATCAACTCTTGAAAATAGTAAAATTATAAATAAGTATGTATCCATTTTTCATACCCAGCCGAACAGAGGTGTTAGTTTTCCTTGTGTTAGACATAGTATTACTAAATATAACATTTGACATATTTGTATTCAAAAACGTCTATCTTATGACAAAATGACTAAACACATTTCCAGGCCTTGATGTCAAGCAGACGATTAATATTTAGACGGGGGCAGATAAGACCATGCCACCTTAATTTAAGTCCACACACAAACTGGCACGTCTGAATGGAGGGCCAGGTACCTTGTTAAAACAATGTTCCTCTGTCAGTAGCGCTTTGACCAGTGCTAATTTGACCCAATTCGTCTTAGGTCCCCCAAGCATGAGCCCCAGGACGCAATGCGTAAGAAGAGGTGCGTAGGTTGACGTTCCACCCCCAGTGTTTCTTTCAGAAATTTTCCCCCGGGGATGCACTTTAGATTTTTGGGGGGCACTTCAGATTTTTCGGGGGGGGGGGGCAGTGCCAGCAGTTCCAGTTGATTTATCGTTGGACATATTTGTGCTCCGGAGGGGGCACTTGGCACTGCCCCACTCCCCCCGAGATATAGCTGAAAAAAACCCTGTCCACCCCTATTCACACTACACCTAGCTACGCCACTTGACACTACACCTAGCTACGCCACTTCACAGGACACATGCAGACAAAACTGCAGTTTTTAAATAACACGTTTAAGAAAATCACTACAAACATGACCTGGTATTTCAGAAGATGCATGATTACAAATGTTTAATGCACATATTAGTAATTCAGTGGCGTGGCTATAGGATGGTGTAGTCACCCATGCGGTCCGCACCCCGCCTAGGCTACGCCACTGTAACATACAATTGGATATTTTTAGTAAACGAAATCATGTTCCCATCGAAAGTGATAACTGATATCCCCAGCCTTCGGTTATTTCAAGAATTTCACAAATGGACACATGTATCTTAAATTACCTTTGAAAATCTGCATCGCCAAAGGGTGGCATCGCTACTGAACACGAGGCCCGCTGTTGCCAGGACCATTGTTATTTTCTATCAAATACTTGGTGGCCATCTCGATTCTTAATTGAGAACCGTTGCATGCCTGAATATTATGGATGATAGTGCTACACGCAAATACGAACTCGGAAGAGATTTGGGGGGGGGGGGGGG